TGCCCTGGAGCAGCTCTGGGCCAGAATCCCTGCCTGCCTGCAAGGCTCAGCAGTTGTTCTCTGCTTTTCTCCACAGCCCGAGAGGATTTCGGGGGAGCAGTACGGGATTCACTCGGATGTTTGGAGCCTGGGGATTTCCTTCATGGAGGTATGCAGAGAGCTCTCAAATCAACTCTTACGTCAAAAATAACATCAAGATATTTCCATTTCACCTTGCTTTATTCTTTAAGTTCCCTCTAAATTCATGTGCCTTTACCTGTTGCTCACTTGGGCTGTATTTAGAATGGGTTTGTTCATTTGAGGTCTTAAATAAAGCTCCATGTTTAAATAAAACTCAAATAAAACTTCCAGTAGGAGGTAGGGCCTGGAGTGTGGAGGATTTTTCTTTCTTCCTTTTTTCCTTTTTTCTTTTTTGCCCCTCTTTTCCCCTCCCTCTTTCCTCATTTTAAGGTGAAACTGGACTTTTTAAGTGAACTGTAACCAGGATTTTCAGCAGAAGATGAAGCTGAGCAGTCCCAGTGCTGGCCCTCTGCATCTCGGCACATTTCACGTTTTGCTGCCCAGAGCTGAGCCATTTTTACATTTCACACAAGAAATTCCTTGCCAAACCAAACCCTTTTGGCCAAGATACAGGTGGTGAGTGCTGAGCCAGTGCTTGCAGATGAGGTAAATCAGTGTCACCCCGAGTGGCAGGGTGACACAATTTGATGTGGCCCAGGGCAGGGCTCTTCTTTTGTTTCACTGCACATTTGAACAGTTTGTGGTGCTGGGGAGCCCTCACTCAGGATTTTGGGAGAGATACAGACCAAATCCATACACTCTGTAAGTAATTCTAGCCAAAAAAGGGCTGAGGTTGTACTCCAGGATAACTCTGTGGTGGTGCGGGTGATAAAAAGAGTGATATAAACACAGGATTTTATAAATAAAGCGTTTCCCAGTTCCTTTGAATTAAAAGCTGTGCCCCAGCAGCTCAGTGATCCACCACAAGATATTTGCAGTTTATTTTAGGGTTGTTAGTGGCTGCTCATCGATTCCACATGCAGGTTGGTAAAACTCCTTTAATTTGCATTTCCTCCTCTGGTTTTGCACCTTCCCAGCTTTCCTCTCCCTCCCTTCCCAGGGGTTTCTCCTGAGCCAGATGTGCAGGAAGCACTTTGGGGTCTGGGTGCTTTGTTAATTGGTTTGTCAGCTGCTCCTCCGGGGCCTCTCCCACCAGCAGCAGCTTGATTGAAGTGCTCTGAGTGATGTTAAATGATGAAAACAAGGACAGTGCCTTAGAAAAACGCCTCCAAAAAAGGTGAAAAAGGTGCTCCAAGAGCCACACAAGGTCACTGTCATTAAAGTAACACCCTATTGACGTGGGGATTGGGAGTGGGGACGCTCTTGCTGCTGTTAAAAAGAGGAGCTGGTGTTTGCTGAAGGATTTAAAGTCATCTGCACTCAGTGAAGTCGTGCTCCAGCCCCACACCTGGGTGTTCATTTAAAGGAAATGTCTTAATTTAAAGGAAATATCTTGTGGGATCGAGGCAGCAAGGGCTGTGCTGGCAGGTGAGGATGTAAAATTGTCAGGAAATCTTCTCATTTTCTTTAATGCTCTTCTGAGCCCTTAAAAACCTCTGGAATTTCTTTGCTGCAGAGCTGTGTGTGATGAGAAGTGGGAAGTGGCATTTGGGAGGGTGAGGAAACTGCCCCAGAAAAGCTGGGAGGAGAGAGGGGAAAGTCTGGGCTGGGAGTCCTGCCTAAGTTTTGAGAAATGGGGAGTGTTTGTGTTCCCTTTGAGGCAAGAGGGGTCTGAGTGTGCTCAGTCATCCCCTCAGAAATTAAAAAAAAAATTAAAAATTAGATTAAAATAGAATGAAATTAGAGATGCAGCTATATCATCACCATTATTATGTATTATCGCTATCATCATTATTATTATTGTCGTTACAATCAATTTTTGTCACTTCATTTTTTTGAGTTTGCCTTTCTTCCTTCAGGATTTTTCTGAAGGGAATGGAATTGAATCCATAACCCAGAAAAACTGTTCGGAAGTGTTCCACCACAAATAGTTTGTGTGTTTCCATGAGGTTTTCCCGTGTTTTATTTAAGTGCTCTTGGCTTGACAAAGCAAGTTCAATTTAAAGCCGTGCCATTGCTGTCACTACACTGCCCACTGTGTCAGCATTTTCATTGCTAAAAGCTGTTTTTGCAGGGTTCCTAACTCAGCCATAAAACACATCCAGGCTGGGCTGGGGGAGCCCTGTGCCCATTCCCTCTCTCCAGGAGCTGTGTCCTGCGCAGGAGGAGAAATTAAACTGCCCAATATTTCTTGTTACTCTCCAATATGACTGATCCTAGCTGTAATCCACAAGTGACCTGTCAAACATCCAAAAATCCACCTGGCTGGGGTTTAATAGCAGCAGCAAGGCTGGCTTGGATGGGGCTGGGGTGGTGGAAGGTTCCCTGCCCATGGGAAATGAATTTAAGGTCCTTCCCAAGCCCCCTCACCCTGGGATTCTGTGATATTTGCCATTTTATCTCCAGATACAGTCGGTGCTACATTTAAATTCAGGAAGTGAAAGCAATTTGCTAATGCCCAAAACCAAGTAAATTTTGGAAGCAGAAGCTCATGTGCTTGGCTTTTTGCTGCTCCTTCTGTGTCACGTCCAGGTCTCTGCCTCCCACTGCCCTCTGTGTTCCAGGTCCCCTTTGAAAATTAGATTTTCTTACAGAGATCATCACTGTTCCTCTCCCCCAGAGAAAAGGAATTTGTGCATCGGTTTTAATAATAGCTCTTATGCATTAGTTCTTTAATATTAGTTCTTAAAACTCCCAGATTGAGGATTTGAAGTGTTTGGTGGCCAGAGTTCGCAGTAGCTGTGCTTTTGCAGGAGCTTTCAAGGGTCCTTAGCAATCTCTTCAGAAGCCATCAGGCATTTCAGACACAGGAAAATCAGGAATTACCCAACAAAAGTGCCTTGCCTCGGTACTTGAGGCACACCCGAGCACTGCCAGAGTGCTGGAGCTCAGACCCTCCATCCCACTCGGGTGGGGGCACAGAGGGAGCTGCAGAAGAGCCCTCAGCCCACAGAGAGGAGAAGGAAATGCTGGGAGAGGATGCTCCAAGGGAAGCAGCTCTCTAAAAGCTCTTCAGTCTCGAGGGTGTTTGACTGATAAAACTGGAGTCAAACTGGTCGAGGAGGGGAGGTTTCAAATCTCCTTCTGAGCTGTCTGAGGTGTGGGATCAGTTACATCTCATCAGCTTGGGAGCAAAGGGGGAGGATTGTGTGTTCCAGGTGAGGATTGTGTGCTCCAGGTGAGGATTGTGTGTGTGTCCAGGTGAGGATTGTGTGTTCCAGGTGAGGATTGTGTGTTCCAGGTGAGAACTGTGTGTTCCAGGTGAGGATTGTGTGTTCCAGGTGAGGATTGCGTGTGTGTCCAGGTGAGGATTGTGTGTTCCAGGTGAGAACTGTGTGTTCCAGGTGAGGATTGTGTGTTCCAGGTGAGGATTGTGTGTGTGTCCAGGTGAGGATTGTGTGTTCCAGGTGAGGATTGTGTGTGTGTCCAGGTGAGGATTGTGTGTTCCAGGTGAGAACTGTGTG